TGCGGACTCCACCCCATTTCATCCTCTTTTCCCCCTTTTTGCAAACTCTGACCTCCTCGATACCTCCCCTCCCCGGGCAGCATCATTTCCCCTACAGATTACGAGCATTTCAGATTTAGGCGTTGTTTAAACATAAATCCGCATCTGGAGATGAGGAGGAAAAAGGGTGTCTGCATCTGGGAGGTGCTGCTGCGGAAACCTTGTGCTCAAATCCCCGCCTCTAGAAAACGAGCACGTCAGGGGAAACCCACAACGGTTTCCTGACTATCATTTTCCAGACTTCTTTCATCCCGCAAAGCTTGCCCCGCCACTCAGATGCTGTAAAGCCTGGTGCAGGGGGCCTGTTTTTTAAAAGAACCCGTTTTCCGTCTTTCTGATGTAGCTGTGGCTCAGGTTTGCAAATTAGATATGCCCATGAGGCAACAGGGGGCGCTGGGAAGGATTGGCCCACAGGCCGCTGTTGCTAACCCCTGTCCATAGACTTTCTGGAGAGAAAGGGCCGGTCATTCGGGGGCTGAGGGGTCTGTCTACCTGGCCTCCCGGAATTTCTTGAGCAAACTGGGTCGATCCTGGTTCCGCCGGCGCCGGAACCAGCGCTCCACCAGCCGCGGGGTGCAGCCGCTTTTTTTAGACAGAGCTTCGATATCAGCCTGCAGGGAGAAAGAAGAGGCAGAAGGACAATCAGGTGGGAGGCTGCACGCCCCCCACCCCGAGACAGACATTGCAAATATAGGGATTAGCCAGCTGTTCCGGCAGAAAAGGTTTTTCAAAAGCTAGAAGGCCACAGTGGGATTTAAGCTTGCTGATTCCTTGAGTTGCTAGATTACTCAGTGTGGGGTTCCCTTCCCTTGGGGGGGAAAAAGAGAGAGAGACGCCCATTTGAAATTGTTGCACGCCCTTGGCTTGGAAGACCCCTCCCCGGCCCCAGCTGTCCACTGGTAGTTGATTTAGCCAAAGTGACCCAACTCAATTTGCTTTTTTGGTGGCCTTCGTACAAAATCTATGGCATATTTCGGCAGATTCGCCCCACTCCTCTGATTCTCTGGCGGGCCTTAGGCAACGCCTCCATGTCCACCCTATCCAAGCGTTTCCAAATTGACAATGTGGCCTTCGCAGCCCAGAAGCGGTTATTTCTTCCTCAGCTCCGTCTCCAGAGCCGGTGGGCTGATCTCAGGAACTCTCCCGTGCAAACGCCTCGTTTGCCAAATTACCTGTGTGGGATGTTTGCCGGAAGAGGAGTAAAACTTCTCTAGCACTGGGTTTGGTGTGGCTTTTAATCGGGTTTTTTCCTTGACGTTCAAAAGTCCAGCCAGCGGAGTGGCTATGTAGCTGAAGAACAAAAGAGCAGTGAAAAAATGGATGGATGGATGGATGGATCGATGGATGGAAGGAAGGAAGGAAGGAAGGAAGGAAG